CCCTCGTAGGCTCCTTTCGGCTCGCCTGCTTCTCTGCCCCGCCTAGCCCAACCCGAAGGGGGGAAAGGAACGGGCCGGGCGAGGAGGGCGCTTGTACGTAGGCAGGGCATTCTGCCGCTAAGCAGCCCACCTCCCGGAGCCGTCGTTGCCGTTGAGTAGTCGGCTGAACCGACGGTGAGGGCGGCCGGAGTCTCGCAGCAAAGGGAGCAGCGCTGGCTTTCTGCAAGATGAGTAGGCGGCTTGCGCTGTGCAGCCGAGGCGGCCTGAGCCTTTCCGTCGCCTGTTTACTGGCGCTTCTTCCCGGCCTGGTGAGTCGAGGGCGGCGGGAGGAGGAGGAGGAGGAGGACTAGGGCAGGAGGTGAAAGGTGCGTCTCGGAGCCCCGCCAAGGCGGGTGAACGAGGCTGGGCCTGTCGTGCCCTGCAGCTTGGGGTGGGGGAAGAGACCTTTCTACGTCGGGTCGCCTTGTCACGGTTTCCATCCGTGGGGTCGGCTCAGGCAGGACTTCGACGTCAAAAGTTAGCAGGTGGAACCGTGACAGCCGCGGAGTAGGGGACTTTATTGGCAAAGGCCTTTGCGGGTAAGTCTTAGTGACGGAGTTCCGCGCCGCTGACTTCCAGCTAAGCAGGCGTTGGGGTTTTGCATGCCTTCATAGGCGAGCCGTTGCGCCTTCCTGACCTGGATTCTTCGCCCGCGCTTCTGTTTTCCTTCGGCGACTTCATCGAATCATGACCGAGTGCTTAAAAAGAACTTCTCATTAAGGCTGCTTCCCCCTTCAGACTCTTTCTTCGGAAGGGAGCGTCCATCTGTTGTGGCAGGGCAGTGCTGAAGTGGGTACCTAGATCCTCCTTTGGACGAAACTCCGAGAAAGAGCCCAGTCGCAAAAGGTGGCATCATGCAGTTATTTTGGCTTGTGGTTCAAAGCATTTGGGACAGCCAAGGAGAAGCGTGGAGTTAAGCCTTCTGCTGATCCAGTACTTGTTTGCTTTCTTCAGCGAGATTGCTGACACCTGAAAATATGTGTTTGAATAGCCCAGTCCAGCTGTTAGTTTCTAGTTCATATTTTTAAAAGGAGGTTGAAAAATTCTTATCCTGAGAGATTTGATCTGCTGTGGAGGCAAACTTAAAAAGCCAGCTTGCAGTTGAAGAAGTATCTGGGTGAATCCAGTATAAAGGTCAAATTGCCTTAGTTGTCGTGTCCATAGTACAAGTAAGGTTGGGAAGTAACCTGAGGCAGGTAACTTGCTGGATATTTTTTTAAAGTTGCTCTGACATGTAGAGATGAGCATAGGTGATCTGATGAAATATATGTTCTTGTTGCAGAACTGTTGTCACAAATGCATTGATTGCTTAAATATAGAAAGAACTTTCTTTGGTGCTTCAGATGGATCTGTTAAAATTAATATTTACTTCTGTTCTATACTACATTTGCTTTGACGAAATGAATTCAAAATGCTAGTAGACATCTGTTATACTGGGTAAACTCCTCTGTGGTAGCAAATTAGGAATGTAAGAAGCTCTCTTCGATTGAATCAGAATCCACACAGTTCAATATTATCATATTTGGTGGTAGATGGTAGATCTTTGCAGTTTTAGCCAAGATACTTTTCAAGCCCTACTTGCTTTGGTTTGGATGAGAAGTGGTTAACTGATGAAAAAAGGAGTATGTTTTGGGAATTTCTCTGTGCTTGGTGTAACTTTGTGAATGGTAGTGAACCTACAAGGGTATCCTGTAGAGAGCATCTTGACTGCTGATGTTGCTGTTGTCAGTATTCAGACTGCTATTTGCTATGCGAAGTTCGGCATCCTTTTTCTTGGATGGGGGAAGCCAAAAAAACCCACCAACACCCATTGGAAATGGGGAACTCCCCCCAAAAAAGCAACCAAACCCCCCATGACCCATCGGAAATGGAGAAAAAATCCCCAACCAACAAACAAACCCCCCAAGACCCATCACAGCACAGAAACATAACCCCCCCAGCTGAAAACCACGCTGCAAAAACACCCAGAACAGTTTTTAAAAAGCAGAAAACAGCACCTTACCTTACAGGGCAGCCTGAAGCCTCCCTGCAAACATACACACACGCTTTCAGAAGCAGAAGGTCCCAAGTCTCCTCCGAGGACGCACACTCTCTAACTGCTGGGGCAAAAGAGCCACAAAGAAGCAGTCTCATCACCACCTACAGTTAGAAATTTGAATTTCCTGTCTTTTTCTGTTCGTAAGTGGAAGCTACCGGTCACAGGTAGAAGCATAATTTTGTGGCCAGAGCTGGTCATAACTCAAAATGGTCATAAGTAGGGACGTTCATTAGTTGAGGCACCACTGTGCAGAACTGGGAAAAATAGTGGTGGGCCCCAATACTGTACCCTGTTTCCTTGAAAATAAGCCCTACCCCAAAAATAAGCCCTAGTTAAGTGAAACCCCACCCTCTATCATTGTGCAACAACCAGAAGATGACATGACTGTATTTGAATAAATGCAGATGGTTGTACATGGAAAAAATTCCCCTGAAAATAAGCCCTACTGTGGTTTTTGGAGCAAAAAATTAATATAAGACCCTGTCTTATTTTCGGGGAAACACGGCAGGAAAGGAGGAAGACCTAAAATGAGAGGAGTTGATTCAATCAAGGAATCCAGCACAGCTGTTAGTTTGCAAGACTTAAGCAGAACTTACTGGAAAAATATTCTGGGGGGGGGCAATAGAGAGACAGAGAACAATCTAGCATGAGTTATTGTTGGCTTGCAAGATCTGAGCCCAGTTGTTATTTATTTATATGATGTTACTAAGTTTATTAACTCATATGGTCACCACACATCAGAAGTGATTTGATGGCACATTTATTTATTTGACTTTCAATTTTTATTGACATCTTTGGAGGTTTTTTAATCATCAGGCAGTTGTATAGTGACAAGATGGGTAAAATGGATACTATGACAGGAGACTATAAAATTATATAGGAATAGGATATAGAAATGCTAGCCCTGCTAACATCAAGTAAGACCATCCCCAATGACAAAGAAAAAAAATCTGTACTTTCGCAGCTTAAATGAGTGAGTTTCTGAATGTTTATTCAATATTATTTTTAAATACATATATACAGTGGTGCCCCACATAGCGACATTAATCCATTCTAAAAAAATGTTGCTATCCGGATTCCTCGCTATGCGGGGCAAAAAACCCCATAGGAACACATTAAACCCCATTTAAAGCATTCCTATGGGGAAAAACTCACCGTTCAGCAAAGATCCTCCATAGCACGGCCATTTTGGCTGCCTGTTAAGCGAGGAATCCCTCCCAGAAAACAGCAGGTGGCCATTTTGAAACTGCCAATCAGCTGTTTAAAAAAGCATTGCTTTGTGATGATCTGTTCCCCAAGCAGGGAACCTATCATCACAAAGCACCGCCAGCCAGCCAGCCAGCCCCGGACGCCCAGTCTCCATGGCCGGGCGAGAGCAAGGGGGAGGGAGCGCGTCTGTCTCCAGCCAGCGAGGGCTCGGAGGCAGGCAGCCAGGAAGGGGCGCGCCAGTGACCGCCAGCCGGCCAGGCAACCCCGGACGCCCGGTCTCCTTGGCCCAGCCACTGCCGCCCTGATTCCGGTCCCCGGCGGGCGCCTCCTCCTTTGCGGCGCTCTGGCTCGGCGCCCGCCCCAGGGATGCAACGGGGATCAGGGCCAGGCCCTTTGCCCCTCCTTCCCTCCCTCCTCCCGAGGCGCCAATCCGGAGCGCCGCTGCTCCCCCCCATAGGCCTGCCGGTCAGCTGTTCCAAAAAGCGAGCCTTTGGGCTGCTCCCGTTTTGGAACAGCTGACCGGCGGGGCCTTTGCGATGATTGTGGGGGAGCGCTCCCCCGTGATCATCGCAAAGTGAATTTTCCCCATAGGGGCCATTGCAAAGCGATCGCTCTTGCGATGACAAAAAGTCCATCGCAAAGCGATTTCATCGCCAAACGGAGCGATCGTTATGCGAGGCACCACTGTATAATTAAAAATATTTTCAATATCTGCATTTAAAAAATATATATATACAGTATATCTGTCCCTCTATTTTTATACCCAGGTACAGGATCCCCTTGCAAGCATTATTCTGATAAGCCTATTTGGCAAGGAAGGAATTAAAAAGTTAGCTAAGAGTTAGCTAATTGGGTCCTGATTGACAGGGTCAAAAGTTCCGATTGCCCCAGTATGGTCCTGATTTCCCCTTTGAAAATTTATGTGAGGAGACTGTTTAGTCTGAGAAATCCTGAGAGAATATTAGAGCAAAACACAAGTGCTATCCATTTTTATAAGGTAAGGGAAAATACTTTGAATGTGCCTTACAAAATTGTTTGTTAGTTCCTTGAAAGTACATGGCAAAATATCCCTTTTTCAGTTGAACTGTCACGCATTACTTTCTTTAAAGCAAACCTAGTTGTTGTGTTTACTCTTTAAAGAAAGGCTGTTTTTCCCCCAACTAATTCTTTTACCTTTAGTTTCATTTTGTGAAGCTCCTGGCAAGCCTGTACCACACATACTCAGTGTTATAATAAAGTTGCTATTTTTCCCTTTTGAAAAGCCTTTTTTGAGGAGAAGAAAACTCTTTGTCCAAACTTCCCCAAACATGGCACAGAACATGAGAATAGAATATGTAGCATTTAGAAACAATTGCATTTTTTTAAACCTTTGTTGCATTTCCTAGTGCTCAGCTAGGTTGGATGGACTGCCTCAGCTGCCTTTCTGCATTATGCATCCTTCTGCATGTCCACTTTGTGGGAAACATTGACTTGGATCCTGTTTGTCAGGTACCCAGAGAAAGTGCAGTGGCATAAATTGCTGTGGCAAATTACTGCTAGTTAGCAAGTCACCACTCATAAGAGGGGCTGCTGCTAAGTATTGAGCCTTTCCCAGAAAAAAATTGAGCTAGAAAGCTATAAATTGCAGGGTGTATTGGCCAATTTGTATTCAATGGTGCAAAAATCAACTACCTATGATTTTAACTTACCTTTCATGTTCAGGTCCAGAGTGAACATGGCAGCACCTCCAGAAAAGTTCAGTGTGGAAGAGCATAGGACCATAATCAAGTTCCTGTTTCTCCAAGGGAAAGGCGCAAAGCAGATCCATGATGAAATGACACAAACTATGGATGACAGTGGCCGTTCATATGCAACAGTTAAACGTTGGGTTGTCAATTTTTAAACTGGCCATTTCGGTGTTGAAAGTGAGAAACCCAGTGGAAATAAAGCACAGCAATGTTTCTGTCTCTGTGCCTGCAAATGTGAAAGCCATCCATGACATGATCATGGAGGACCGCAGAATATCAGCCAAAAGTATTGCTA